TCTATCACCAGGTTGTTAGTACACCACTAGAAACTTAAGGCAATGGAGGAAAAACATCATTTCAAAACTCTTCTCAGAAAAAGTAAAAGGAATACCATAAAACAATCCTGGAGATGTGACTAAGACCCCTAGGAGCCATGCTTTGGATTCTAAATATTTGTCATTTTAGGGTAGCCAGGATCTAAATATTCTCCCTACATTAAGGTTTCTACCAGCAATCCTCCCTCTCCATTCCTCCCCTTACTATCCCAGTTTTCAGCAGCTCCAAATTAAAGTTGAAAAATACTTGATTTGAACAAATAAATTGACTCAAGGGGGCAGGATATTATCAACAGTCCACCAAGATTCCCACATGTCTTGGTCTGGACACTTACCCCAAGGATCTGAGAGGGTTACAAAACACACTTGTTCACCCATGTTCAGGCACAAATGGATCACTGTAATTCAGCAGCCAATGGGGAGTAGAGTCTCCTGGTCTCTTGAAGATACACAAAATACAGATGCGCCTCAAATAATAAAAAAGTGGAAAGTATTCATCAAATATTTTTAAGAACAATTCAGGTATGATGACCAAGTGGGGTTTATCTCAGGAACACAAGATTCAAATATCAATCATTGGGGGCGCCTGGATAGCTCAGTCGATTGAGCATCCCACTCTTGATTATGGTTCAGGTCATGATCTCAAGGTCATGGGATCAGGCCCTGCATCAGGCTCCACGCTCAGTATGGAGTCTGCTTGTCCCTCTCCCTCTGCCCCTCCCTGCCGCTCCCACACTCGCTCTCTCAAATAAATAAATCTTTAAAATATTAAAAAAAAAAAACAAATATCAATCAATGAAATTCACCATATTAACAAAATGAAAAAGAAAAAAAAAAACAAATGATTATCTCAATAGACTCAGAAAGATTATTAGAAAATGATTCATAATAAAAATTCTCAGGGCTCTCAGAAATTTAAGAAAGAATGACATAGACAAGGTAACTGCCACAACCGCTTCCACTATGACCCCAACCTCCCCAACCCCACCATCACAGAATAATAAGCCAGGATTCACCATAACTATTGGGTAACTATGGAATATTATACCAAAATTGAGAAAATTGGAAAAAGTACCTATGGAGTTATGGACAAGGGTAGACACAAAACTATAGTTCAAGTGGTAGCCATGAAGAAAATCAGACTAGAAAGTAAAGAGGAAGAGGTTCTTAGTACCACAATTCAGGAAATTTCTTTATTCAAAGAATTTTGTCATCTAAATATATATGCAAACAATGAATCATGGAACACTACATCAAAACTAATGATATAATGTATAGTGACTAACATAACATAATAAAATTAAATTAAAAAAAATAAATTAAATATAGTCAGTCTTCAAGATGTGCTTATACAGGATTCCAGCTTATATCACATCTCCAAATTCCTTGGATCTTAAGAAATACTTGGATTCTATACCTCCTAGTCAGTTCATGGATTCTTCACATGTTAAGACTTATTTGGGCCAAATCGTATAAGGGATGTTGTTTTGTCACTCTGGAAGAACTCTTCACAGAGACTTAAAACCTCAAAATCTACTGACAACAAAGGAACAACTAAATTGGCTGGTTTGAACCTTGCCAGAGTTTTTGGAATACCTAGTAGAGTATACATCCATGAACTAATAACACTTTGGCATAGATCTCCAGAGGTATTGTTGGGGTCAGCCCACAACGCCTGTTGACATTTGGAGTACAGATACTATATTTGCAGAATTAGCAACTAATAAGTAAGTCACTCTTCCATGGGAATTCAGAAATTGATCAACTCTTTAGGATTTTCAGAGCTTTGGGCACCCCCAGTAATGAAGTGTGGCCAGAAGTGGAATTTTTATAAGACTGTTAAGAACATATTTCCCAAGTGGAAACCAGGAAGCCTAGCATCCTATATCAAAACCTTGGTTGAAAATGGCTTGGATTTGCCTTCAAAAATGTCAGCACATTGGCAGGTTAATCCCACCGAACAAGTTTCTGGCAAAATGACACTGAATCATCCATATTTTAATGATTTGGACAATCGGATTGAGAAGACGTAGCTTTCGGACAAAAAGTCTCCACATGCTATCTCAAGAACAGATAGTTATATTTTTACTGCTACCTCTATTTTTGTCTTATGTGCCCTTTTCTATGTTGTAAAACTTAAGCTGCACGTCATCATCTAATTTCAAAAGTGTAACTTTAAAATGTAAATATTGTTCTATGTCAATTTAAATATAGTAGTTCTGTGTATGAGTGTAGATTTCACTATAACAAGTATTTGTTACTATAATAAAACTATAAATCTAGTATTGATGACAGGAACTGCGGGAAATAACTGAACTGTTTACCCCTTAAGATCAAAAACAAGGCAAGAATATCTGCTCTCACCACCTTATTCAACATTATACTAAAAATCCTAGCCAGTTTAATAAGGCAATCGAATAAATAAAAGACATGCAGATTTGAAAAGAAGTAAAACTGTCTTTGTCACAGATGACATGATTGCCTATGCAGAAAATCCTAAAATATCTGCAAAAGAGCTGATTTTAGCAAGGACACAGGATATAAGGCCTATATTAGAAAAAAAAGAATTTTTACATTCTAGAAACAAAGAATTAGAAATTGAAATAAAATAGATACCATTAATTTAAAAGAAACAATACTATATTAGTTCTCAACTGCTACATAACAAATTACCAAATTAGCAGCTTGAAACAACAAACATTTATTATCTCACATAGTTTCTGAGAGTCGGGAATCTAGGAGCAGTTTCAGGGGGTAGCATGGCTCAGCATCTCTCAGGAGGTTGCCATCAAGGTGTCAACTAGGCCTGTACTCATCTGAAGCTTTGACTGGGGCTGGAGGATCTATTTCCAAGATCACTCGTTCACATCTTGCTGGTAGAGGCCTCAGCTTCTCCTTTATGAAGATCTCATTTCTTCACCACACTGGACCTTCCAGTAGACCTGCTCCCATGTCTTCCAGATCAAACAATACAAGAGAGCAAAGAAGGAGCTATAATGCCTTTGATTACCCAGTCTCAGAAGTGGCATTCCATCACTTCCGCCATATTCAATTGGTCACACAGATCAACCCCTGGTACAATGTGTGTGGGGGGGGGGGGCGGGGAGATACTATACATGGGCATGAATACCAGGAGGGAAGGAGCATTTCAGGCCAATCTGGAGGCTGGCTACCACAAATACCACTTACAATAGCATCAAAAGACATAAAACACTTGTGGATAAATTTAACAAAATATGTGCTAAACCTCCACGCTGAAATGACAAAATAATTACTGAAAAATCTAAAGAAGACCTAAATAAGTAAAGAAATATACAATGTTTATGGATTGAAAGACTCAATATTATTAAGATGTCGATACTGCCCAATGTATTGGGATTCAATGTAATCTCCACCAAAATGCCACTGGGTTTTTTTCTTAATAAAAATTGACAAACTGATAGTGAAATTTGTATGTAAATGTTAAGGACTTAAAATAGCCAAAACAACTTTGGAAAGAAGAACAAAGTTGGAGGACTTAGACTACCTCCTACACTACATCCTAAAATAGTGTAAGAACTACACTATTTTAAGATTTACCATAAAGCTACAATAATAAAGACAGTGTGCTATTAACATAGGATAGACATATAGATCAATGGAACAGAACAAAGAGTCCAGAAATAGGCCCACTCCTATAAGGTCAATTAATTTTCAACAAAAATGCCAAATAAATCCAATGTGAAAAAATTTTTAACAAATGTTGCTAGGACAATTGGATATCCCAGGAAGAAAATAACCTTGAACATTTGCTTTACACTATAAACAAAAATTACCTTAATATTGGTCACTAGCCGAAATATAAATGCTAAACTATAAACTTCTAGAAGAAAACATAGGAGGAAAATGTTAGGACCTTAGTATAGGCAAATAATTCTTAGACAATACACAAAAAGCACTTATTCTGAAAGGGGAAAAAATTGATAAATTGGACTATGTCAAAATTAAAACATCCTATTCTTTGAAAGACAGCATTAAAAGCAAACAAACAAAAAAATACAATGCAAGCCATAAACAGAAAATATATATATATGTAATACATATATCTGTCAAAAGACTTCTATTTGGAATATATTTAAAACTCTTATAGCTCGATAGTAAAATATTAACTCAAAAATAGGCAAAAAGGGGGCACTTGGTTGGTTCAGTCAATTAAGCATCCAACTCTTGATTTCAGCTCAGGTCTTGATCTCAGGGTCATGAGACACAATGGACTCCACACTGGGTATGAAGCCTACCTACAACGGAAAACAAACAAAACAAAACAAAACAAAAAGCCAAAAGTTTGAACGGACACTTCACAAAAGAAAAACTATAAATGGCAGATATACAAATGAAATGCTCAACATCATTGTCATCAGGAAAATGCAAATTAAAACCTCCAGATACTCCTAGCACCCATTAGAATAACTAAAATTAAAAGGAGAAACCATACCAAATGTTGGCAAGGATGTGAAACAACTGGAAATCTCATATTTTGTTGGTAGAAATGCAAAATAATACAGCACTTTGGAAAAATTCAACGATTTCTTATAAAGTTAAATATTCATATACTATATGACCCAGCAATCCCCTAAGTATTTACACAAGAAGAATGAGAACCTAGGTCTGCACAAACACTTTTTGCAAGGGTTCATAACTTTTTCATGATAACTTTTATTCATAATAACTCAAAACTAGACACAATCTGCAAGTCCATCAAAAAGTGAATGTAAATAAATTGTGCTCTATTCCTACAACAGAATATGGCTCAGTTTTAAAAAGGAACAAAATACTGACATGAGAAAGATCGAGAGGAGGAGATTGACCATAAAAGGCTAGTGGGGAGCTCGATGGACATGTTCTATGTCTTGATTGTGGAGGTGGTTGTGTGGGTGCATACGTTCAATGAAATTTATTAAACTGTACACTTAAAATAGGTGTATTTTATTACTATCTAAGTTATACTTCAATGAAAGTAATTAAAACATTGTAAAAGAAATATATTCATATGGTTAAAAAATTTCAACTAGACATTGAAAAATTAGTCCTCTTTCACCGTATGTCCAGACCTCCAAATACCCTATCTCCTTACCACTATTCCCAGTGATTTTATGGATTATTCAAAAATTGTGTGTATACACCTCTACATTGGTATTTGTATATGGATATGTCTATAGGTATATCACACAAATACACACATATACTTTGTTTACATACGTAGACATCTTTTCTATTATAGTAGCTGCTTTTTGGTGCCTGATATTCCCTTAGACCAACTCTGATTTTTGCTGCAGCTCCCATGGTGGGTCCCTCCCTTGCACACTGACAGAGTCCCATCATGAACACTAACACTTTCTCCAAAGTCACAGGAGCCTATTCAGTCTACAGGCAGCTGCAGCCAGAAGCAGAAGGAGTTAAGTTCCTGGAACAATCCCAACCAATACAGGATGGGTTTGGTCAATAAATGCCCCAACCTTCCTTCTTGCTGAAAGACAGACAATTCTGGGAGTTGGTATTCCTGTCTGTTTTTCAAAGGTCTGGACTTGGGCTTCCCTTACCTGTAGCAGTAACTCAATAATACACCTTTTTTTTTTTTTCTTTTCATTTTCTGTGTCACTGTCTTCATGCTCTCATTTTTTTTCTGGGATTACTTCCCAAATAAACTACCTGCACTCAAGTCTTTGTCTGAGGCTCTGCTTTCAAGGGACCCCAAACCAAGACATGTATACACCTTATTTTTTCACTCGATATATCTTATAGGTTACATGATGTCAGCCCATATAACTTGCCCTCTTGCGTCTCATGGCTCTACGGTACTCCACTGCATGGTGTATCATGGTTTGTTTGTTTGTTTTTCTATTATAAATACTTTATTTCAACTAGAAGGTACAATCTCTCAGGGGTTTCATAGTTTAAAAAGCTACAATCACACCATGTTGTAACTACATAAAAAATAGTGCTGTAAATGGAACTTCCTGGCTTAGAACATGTACATTTCTGCACAGTCTTTATGGAATCTGCACAACAAAGTATCTTCTGCTTTTGCTCCAATTAATTGTTTTTGTATGTAAGTTGCTTTCTATTCCAGTATACCCAGAGTGGTGAAATCATGAGTCCAGCCACGTAGCCGTAGGTCGCTCCAAACGTACAGGAGATGGGCCATACCTGCCAAGGTCTTTCCCAATCGAGTGGAATAGGAAAGGCTCCAAGCCATGTTCCTATAAAGCTAGAAATTGTAGTGATCTGAAGGCTGTTCTCCAAAATGGATGTAACTCCATTTCTACTGAAAACTCTTATGCATGCTTTGATGTTTGGTCCTAACAAACACAAACAAGATAGAGTAGTAAAGGTAGACAAAATAATTGCAAATAAAAATGTTTCCAACACCAACTCTATGAGTGGTGCTCCATATAGAACAAAAATTACATGAAAGAAGAAACATGACATAAGAAAGTAGATACAGCATTTCAAAAACCTGGTTACCTTGTATGATAATGAACTTCTTTTAGAGGATGCATTTGGTTTCACTACTAAATATAATACTAGATTGATGGCAGTTACAAAAACAGAACAGATGCACAACCATGTCAAGTGTGTTTCCAATATTGAGAAGTTCTCCAAGAAGAATGATGGAATGAAGATGCTTAGGATAATTGAAATATGCACAAAAGATGGGTATACAGTAGTCTCTTGATATCAGTATCTTTCATGGTGTTTTCTTGAGAGGCTATCTAACGCTCCTGCCAGTGGAAGAGAAGTGGGGTTACTACCTCCCACCATCAGGTACGACTCACTGCCCTGGCCATTGCCCGCATCATGGTTTTTATAACTGTATCCCCCATCAGTGGATATTTAAGCTGTTTATAGCCTTTTGCTATTGTATACAATGTTTTTTTAAAAAGATCCCTATGCACACATCTTTATAAGATAAATTTCTAGAAATAAATTGATAAGGCAAAGGGTAGTCATGGTAGTCTTTAAATAGGAAGCATCCCTGATATGACTGAACTGTAAAATTTTACCTGTACACACAGTTTTTCAGTCATAAATCCAATGTGTGATGATGTGCAGTTGTCCCTATCAGAGTTATGCTAGCTGCAACCCTACACCCTAAGGCTCCTTCTGCTCAATTCTCTAGTCCCCTTTTCTATGGGATCCACCTGCCATCTTGCTGTGACCTCAAACACAATCAGGAAGAGTCCCTGTGACAGAGAGAGTAAGAACACAAGCTAAAACAGACAAATAGCAACAGAGGGAGAATATATATAAAACCACTAATTGGTTGCCAGAAAATTTACAAAATAGTTCTCCTCTTCACAGAAGGAGGAAAGAACACTGGACTCAGAGTCAGGAGACCTAGGTCCTAGGTTCCAGCCCTCCCTTTGCCAAACCAAGGGGTTGGATAAGGTAGTTTTCCCTTTGCCTCAGTTCCCTCATTTGTAAAATGAAGGGGCAGACCTAAATTATTCTCTCTAAAGCCCTTCTCTCTCTGATATTCCAAATTTCTATGACTCAAGCAGTTTGTAGAAAGGGTCACCTTATACTTGTATTAGGTATCGAATCAGCTCCCATGGAATAATTCCAAGGTGTCAACCCAGCCACCATCTACTTAAAAAAAAACTTCAACAACAGTCATATGCTAGAAAATACTGTGTACACTGAGGATCACTTCAGATCATAACAGAAATGCAAATACCTCAAGAACAAATGCAAACATATCCTTGTAATATTTGGTAGAAGTAGAGCTCTACAGAGCACACTTTGGGAACAATGTTTTAACCCCACAAGCAGCTGGAGCTCAGGCTTTAGAGTCAGGAGGACCTGAACTTAAATCTGAGTTCTGGGGCGCCTGGGTGGCTCAGTCAGTTAAGCAGCCCACTCTTGATTTTGGCTTGGGTCATGAGCTCAGGGTTGTGAGATAGAACCCTATTTTGGTTTTGTCCTGGGCATGGAGCCTACTTAAGATTCGCTCCCCCCTCCCCCTCTGCCCCTCCCCTCACGCTCTAAAAAAAGTAATTAAAAAAATGTTTTAAACCTGAATTCCTCTGCATATACATATGGCCTGGAACTAGTTGTTCTGTAGAAATGAGGCACATAAGCCATTTTGTGAGGCTGCTGTGAGAACCAGAAGAGGTGATAGTGAACTTGAGTCTCAGGCTGAATGTTAGCTTCCAAAGACAGTGGTAAAGGAAAGAAGTCAGTCAAAGTCCAGATGAAGTGGTTGACTTTCATCTGGTAGCCAGGTTAACCTGTAACACACACACACAAACACACATTTTAAAGAGCTAATACTTGCTACAGACTATTTGTCACCCTTATTCATTCACCCTTATTCATTCACAAATGTGATGGTATTAAGGAGTGGGCATTTGGGAGGTGATTAGGTCATGAGGGTGGAACCCTAAGGAATGGGGTTAGTGCCCTTATAAAAGCGACCCCCAAAGAGCTCCCTTGCCTTGCCAACCATGTGAGGATGTGGCAAGCAGACAGCCATCTTTGAACAAAGAAGGGGGTCTTACCGGATACAGAATCTGCCAGCACCTTGACCTTGGACTTCCCAACCTCCAGAACTGTGCAAAATAAACATCTGTTTATAAGCTGCTGAGTCTATAATAGTTTTGTTATAGCAGCCCGCACACACAATACTAATGCTATATGCTAATCTTTCACCACTTAACCATTCTATTGCTATGAACATTTAATGATTTCCAAGCTTTACTTTTTTTTTTTTAAAGGTTTTACTTATTTATTTGACACAGAGAGAGAGACTGCGAGAGAGGGAACACAAGCAGGGGGAGTGGGTGAGGGAGAAGCAGGCTTCCCGCCGAGCAGGGAGCCCGATGTGGGGCTCGATCCCAGGACCCCGGGATCATGACCTGAGCCAAAGGTAGACGCTTAACGAATGAGCCACCCAGGTGCCCCCAAGCTTTACTTTTATAAATAATGAGTCAATGAACATCTCTATACACTCATCTTTGACAGCATCACTTAATAGGTCCTAACTAGATGTTAGACAACCAAGACTTTTCAGTGGGGTGGTGCAGGCAGCTAGATTTTAATTGCACAAGACACAAGTTAACCCCAAGTTCATCCAAAAAGCATTTACTGAGTTTCTAGATGCCGGGCACTACCCAGGCACACTTCATATCATCTTACAGTGCTTCCCCGAATGGGTACAGGTACACCTCTTTTTATAAAATGAATGTGGTTTTGTGGTGTAAATTGAATTCATATGCAATGGGAGAGAGGAGACAAGAGCTGAGGTTTAAATACGACTGTCTCAGCCTACCATAGACCAGGAGGTGAGAGGAAGCTCTTCCGAGAAGTGAGAGGAGAGAAGAGTGGAATACAAAGGACCCCAAACCGAATGTGGAGCATCCTGTTTCCTCCCATCATCAGAACATGAGTCCAGCCACCTGGGTGCAGTTTCACCATAATTTATTCAACTCATCAACTATTTACCGAGCATCAATTATAGCCACTAATAACTCAGCTGTCATTCACTGAGGCAGAATAGTGTAGGGATTAGGAGTGCAGATTCTACCTTTAAAAGAATGAAGTCATTCTATATAAAATGACCTGTAGGGATAATAAGTAACAAAAGTAAGATGCACAACAGTATGGCAAAGGTACAAGAAGGTGTATAAAAAGAAGAGGGATATAAATGCTTGTTTATGCATCGCTTATCACAAAAAGCTGGTGAAAGTAGCACTATTTCTGGCCATGATAGAGTACTAGGGACTCTATCCAACCAGATTTACCCTACCTTCCTTAAATAGCTTTAAAAAAAAAAAAAACAGACAAAATTAAAATCAAACAATGGTTTAAGACACTGAGCAGCAGACAGAGTGGGAAGGGTAACTGATGGCTGAGAGGAGGGAGAGGGAAAGAGGCAAGTCCTAAACTGTCCCAGCTCACTGCCAGCAGGTCATTTCCGGCCACCAATCAGGGAGGAGGACTCGAGGCAGAGCCCGATGGTCTCCCTGAGTTCAGGTGACCAAGATGGCATTCAGGGTGGAGAAGCAGCTAGACTTGCAGGGTAGAGTATCAGAGAAGAGAGAGCTCCAGCAGTTCGCAGAGGTCCCCTCTAGTTGTGGCCTGAGTACTCATCAGCACACATGGGAGAAGCCACCAGAGGCTGGGAAGACCCAACACAAAGCAGTAAGCTCAACAATGTCCTCACTTGACATGGGGCTGGAGATGGTTTATGCTCCACCAGCCAGAATGGAAAGACCTCATAGTCCATGGGACATGGGGTAAACCCCTCAGAAGTGGGGATACCTTAGCCCTAGACCGAAGGCTATTGTGACCAGCAGAGTAAAGCATAAAAGTAGGGCTTCTAGGTGGATGATTGGGGGCAGGAAGGGGGAGATTGGAACTCAGGGTCAAGGCTTGAAGTATACATACCTATTCACTGTTACACCTTTTTGCACTGTTTCAAATTTTTACTATGTGTAAGTATTCCTTTTTAGAAACTTTTAAAGGGAGAGGTCTCTGGAGTCAGACTTGTCAGGGTGAGGATATGACTCCACCTCCTATGAGCTATATAAACCCTGGCAAGTCACCCAACCACTCCAAACCTATGCTTTCTCATCCGTGGGATGGATTTCTTTGATCATTATGAAGTGTTTATACAAAAACCAGCAGCACCTGGCACTTGTGAAAATATTGGTTTTACTCCCCAGTGACCTGTTTCTGGCAAAAGCACCCCATTTTTCTTTTGGGGAACACACCTGCCCCACTCACCCATGTGACCACAACACCATCCCCCAGCTCTGAGAAGGACCATGTGACTATGGCTTTAGGAGGTGAGGCCCTTTGAGGTGATTAGGTCATGAGGGGGAGCCCTCATGAATGGAAGCAGTGATCTTATAAAAGGGACCCCAGAGAGCTCCCTTGCCCAGTTGGCCATGTGTGGGAACAGTGGGAAGGCACCATCTATGAACCTAGAAGCAAGTCCCACCAGACACTGGATCTGTTGGTACCTTGATCTTAGGCTTCTCAGCCTCCAGAACTAGAACTGTAAGAAATACATCTCAGTTACTTCTGACCTATCACCACATTTCATGTCCCTGGGACAGCAAGTAATTATTTTAATGAGAGTGGTGTGGAGACTTTTGCTGAAAATCTTGGGAAAGAGATGCTAATTTTTCACTGGGTTGCTCAGTGAGTAGACTGAAGCTGCCAGTGGTCATTTTCAGGGAACCATCTTGGGAGTGGAACCCAGATAGGGGATAGCAAAGCCTAGAGATGGAGACAGATGTGGTCCTGAGGATGTACTGGGATCCAGCCATGCCTAAAGCCAGTCTGTCACTAGAACCAGAAGAGGCCTGACAAATTCAGGAGGGACTATCATTATTCAATTCATTCAATAAGCACCAAGCCCAAATGAAGTTCCAGAAACTGTGCCCAGAGCTAGGCATTCCAACATGAGACCCTGACCCCAGGAAGTTTATAGTCTAATGGAGGAGACACTTATGCAAAGTAACAACTGCTGGGCTAGAGATATTCCCAGAGTGCTCTAAGTGAGGCACATCTAGAGCAGCCTGGGGAGGGACAGGCTAGACAGTCAGAAAACCTTTGTGAAGATGTGATGCTCAAACTAAGGCTCAGTGAATGCTGAAGAAGTGGCCAGGGGCACCTGGGTGGCTCAGTCGTTAAGCGTCTGCCTTCGGCTCAGGTCATGATCCCAGGGTCCTGGGATCGAGCCCCGCATCGGGCTCCCTGCTCAGCGAGAAGCCTGCTTCTCCCTCTCCCACTCCCTCTGCTTGTGTTCCCTCTCTCTCTGTGTCTCTCTCTGTCAAATAAATAAATAAAATCCTTAGAAAAAAAAAAAAAAGAAGTGGCCAGGAAAAAAAGAGGAGACAAAGAGGTGAGAGAAAGC